GGAGAGCTAGAAGGAGGGGTGTATTGTAGTTTTAAGCAGATTGGCCAAGCAAGGACTTCAAGGCAACATTATAGCAGGTGAAGAAAAGGAGGTATAAAGCCATGTAGATCCCTGGGGGGGGTGGGATGAACATTTTAGATACAAGTAATATCTAGTGCAAATACCAACATGTGAGGCCAGAGCAGAAAGGGGAAGTTTAGAGGTGGGAGATGGAATACCAGGCTCTTATAGAGATGAAGTGGAGGTCATCATACAGAATTTGCTTTTATCTTCGAGTCTTGTGAGTGCCGTTATGGGGCTTGAACAGAGGAGGGACATGGACTTAGTTTATAAGATGACCCTGGCTGCTGGGTTGAGATTGGGAGGTGAGATTGGAAACAAGGACATCAGCTAGGACACTAGTACTATACTCTAGATGAGAATTAAAGGTGACTTGGATTAAGATAGATGGGGAGGAGGCAATGAGAAATGGTCACATTTTACATTTATTCTGAAGGTAGCGCGAATAGCACTTATGTGGGCAGATGGAAAGACGGGGTTTAAGGATGGCTCTAAGTTTTCAATCCAAGCAATAGAAAAAGTGGAATGTCCTTTTAGTGAGATGGGGAGATGGGGAGAAATAAGTGGAACTGCAAGAGGATCAAAAGCTCAGTTCTAGCAAGTAAAATTTAAGTCGTCTCAAAATAGATCATATGAAGCTTCTAGAAGAAAATGTAGGAGAAATTTTTCATGACCTTGAGTTGGGCAAAGAAGTTTTAGATACAATCATGAAAGCAAAGCATTAGTAGAAAAAAATAGAAAATTTTTTGTACTTCCCTAGGGCTCATTAAGAAAATGAAAAGACAAGCTGTTTACTTGGAGAAGATATTTGCAGGTGGATATCTGATAAAGTACTTGTATCCAGAACACATAGAACACTTAAAATTCCTTAGTAAGACAAACCAATTAACAGTATGTAGAAATTAGATATTTTACTAGAAAGGTAAACAAATGGTTAATAAATATATAAAAATACTCAATATCATTAAGGCGGTACAAATTGAAAGCACTTGAATTACCACTATACACCCACTGCAAAGCCTATAATTGAAGACATAATACCAAGTGTTGGCAAGGGTGTGGAGAAGGAGAAACTGGATTCCTCATAAACTGTTGGTGGGAAAGTAAAATGTTACAATCACTTTGGAAAACATCAACAGTTTCTTACAAAGTCAAATATGTATTTATCTTAATATCCAGGGATTCTGCTGTTAGGAGACTTCCCAAGAGAAATGAAAACATATGAAGTCAGGTCACAAGTGTTCATAGCATTATTCATAACAACCCAAGCTGGAAATAATCTACATATCCATCAAAAGGTAAATAAATGCATATCCTTGCTCCCCATACAATGGGCTATATATAATTCACCAGTAAAAACCAACAAAATGTGGCTAGACGCCACAACATCTATGAGTCTCAAGAAAACTTTCTATTAAGTAAAAGAGGGAAGACAAAAAGTACTATATTTGGTATGATTCCATTTAGAAATGTCCAGAAAAGGTCTAAAAAAACACATGGGTGTTTGTCTGGGACAGGGCGGGAGGGTGGGGGGTCGTGAGTGGGAATTAATGGCAAGGAGGCACAACGGATCTTCTCGGAGGGATGAAATAGGCTAAACCTGCATTTTGATGGCTGCACAATTTCATCCATTTATTAGAAATCATTAAATTTTATACTCACTATGGGTGAATTTTACAACATATAAATTACATCTTGCCGAGGTTATTACTACAAATGTGAGTTGACTTCGGAGATGCCCAGAAGTGAATGCTGAGCTAGCAGGTGGGGCTCACAGAGGGCCAGGCTGGGGGTAAAAACTGGGGACTGGTCCACGTATAGATAGAACCTATAAAGTCTTGCCATGAGCCAGAGAAGAGTGTTGCTAGAGCTGGGGTGCTCTGACTGTCACAGATGAGGGGTAGGAGCTGCAAAGGAGACCTGTATCTCCAGGCACTGCCAGTGGGGTGAAAGGAAAACCTGTATCCAAGCCCCTGGAAACAGAGGTCAAGGGAGGAGGAAGAGGCAGTGACCTCAGGGCTGCTGATGCCAAGGAAGGCGGAAGCTGAGAACCCACTACTGAATCAGCCGGTGCAGGATGAATTCACCAGCCACCTCCACACGGACACACACGCACAGTTCTGTTATGGAGTGGGACACGTGACTCAGCAGCTTCCAGGCTGGCCACAAAAACAGAATAGATGACTCTGGAGGAATTTTGCTGCAAAAGAGATTTTTTTAGGAAAAAATTCCTTTCCATAGATATATATGATTTATTTATTTTTGCATATAAGGTACAGGCCAGAGGTGCAGGGGCTGAGAGGACTCACTAAGACAGAGTGGGGAGCAGAGCAGGCAGATGTACTGAAATACACTGCTGAGGGGAGCAGTGGGCGAGACAGGAGAGGTCTGCTGCGCCATGTGGGTAGCTCCCTGGCTGGGGATCGCACTCAGGCCACAGTGGTGGTAGCCCTGAGACTAACCCCTAGGCCACCAGGGAGGCCCTCAACTTTTAGGCTTCTAAAAGGAGCCATGGGCACGTTTGCTATTCTTTCCTGAGATGTTCGGTCAGGGGTGGCCACAAGAGGAGGCAGAAAAGCAGCTCAGGAAACCAAGTTTGTTACCTCCGGAACCTAGAGGCAGGAGGATGGACATTAGGTCGAGAGACATGGGGGCCACCCAGGCCTCCGGGGGCCCAGCCAGGAGAGGGGGCTTTGGTTACAGCAGCTGCTGGAAAAGGCAGAGCCGGGCAGGGCACACAGCTTAGAAGTGGCTATTCTGGGTAATTTTGGCTGCTTTGGGGCCACAGGGGCTGCCTTTGGTTGCTGAGCACCTGGTCCTGGGGTGACTCCCTCAGAGGACTGTTACCTCCTGGGGAGCAGGGGCTGCTTGAGGGGGTCTGGCTGGGGATTGGTCAGTTTGCCTGGCCAAGGCCGCTCTGGGCTGGCCCTTCATCCTCCCCAAGGATGGGTTAGTCTCTCCTGACCAGAAAGCCTTTTCAGATGGCAAAGCACCCTGACATGCAGGGAGTAACACACACCGAGAACGCGAGGTGCCATTTCTTTCTCCTCGTCCCAGGACTTCCAGCGCTGGTGTGAACCCAGTGCTGGTGAATTTCCTGACGTTTTCTCTGCTCCCCGTTAAGCATCCTCATCGAACTAGAATGTTCTTCCCCTTCCCCAGCTGCTGGTCTCTCAGGTAACCCCCATGACCCAGGCCCTTGCACATTCTCCCTTGTGTCTCATTCTTTGCTTTTAACACTTGTTTTTAGGCCTTGATGACTTTTAAAAAGTAGGCCTAACATAAATGATCTATTTCCTTCCATTTGCATCAAGTCTCATCGGAATCCAAACTTTCTTTTCAACCCATACTACGGAACTGGCTCCGAAATCATGCTTTAATCAGAGAAACTAACACGGCTGAATGGAAAACAGATGTTGGTAATGAGGAAACTCAGATTCATAAGAAACGACTTAACATTTGATAGTTCCTCCCTTAAGAGATGGTGCAGGCTGGGATCATGGGGGAACGTGTGGACTTTTTCTCGAGATGTTTGTTTGAGTCGGAACATGCCTGGTCAGTGAAAGCTTTCTTGATTTGCAATGTCACAACCGAGCATATGCTTGCAGAGTAAATTGGAAGCGAAAGGCGCTGGGCTGCCTCCGACCTAGGAGGTGGTACCACTGGGCTGTGCCTGGTGCCCTGGGGCAGGCCACAAGGTGCTGGAGCCTAAGTCTTGGAGCACAGCCTGACCTTGATGCCGGTGGAGCTCTGGGGCGGGGGTGCTACGATGAGAGAGGGCCAGTGCCAGGCGAGGAGCTGGCTGGAGCCATCAGGTCGGCAAGGGCTGAGTCGGGAGGACTGAAGATCCTCACCTGAGGAAGGCAGTGCCAGTCGTGTGGGCTGGTGGGTGAGCACAGGTCTCCAGGCCTGGCCTCGGGTAAAAAGCAGCGTGACAGCTGGAGACACCTGTCGCTCAGAATTGAAGCAGCACCCTCTGAGGGCCAGAGTGTGCTAAGCTGAGCTGAGAGTCAGTCTGCCCCTCGGAGCCATCTTGTCCGGCGGTGAGGACAGGCGATAAAAAATGACTCCCATCCCTTACACAGGTGCAGTGGCCAGGAAGCATCGAGAAGGTGGACTCAGCCCACGCGGGGGCAGAGGGCAGCCTTCCAAGGAGGCTGCATGTATAGGACGCCTGAGCAAGAGCAGCCAGGATGAGACAAGCAAAAACCCCAAAGAGAGAAAGCTACTCTAGGGACAGAGAGGAGGAGGTGCTCCACCTGGAGGGCGCTCCTTTTGGAAAGAAGTGACACAGTCTGTGAGGACACTCAGCTGGCGATGCCCTGCTGGCCAGCCCCGTCCTGGAGCCACCGGAGCCGGTGGTAGCGCTGCTGTCGGCCTCCCGTGGATCGGTGACTGGTCAGCTTTCAAGACCAGCTCGCCCCAGGGGATCCAGGGGAGCACAGTCAAGAACACAGGCCCTGGGGTCTGCAGATGGGGTTTGACTTTTGACTCCCCTTCCTTAGCCGTTGGGTCTCTAACCTTGGCTTCCTGGTCTGGCAAACAACGCCGGAAGACAGGTCTTTCCTGAGACTGAAATGTAATAATATAGTGTGCAAACACCTTAGCAGGCAAGAAAGATAATTCTTTTTGTTTCTTATTTGTTGTTTGTGAGGGATCAGTGCCAGGACCCTCAAGACCAGGTCACCGAGGACCTCAGAAACTCCCTTGTGTCTTCCGATGTCTCATTCCAGCCCCGCTTCTTTGACAACAGACCTTCCCAACGACTGCCCTTGACTACAAAAATATGCCCTGAAGGTGTGTGTCGGGACTGGACACATGCTCACCTCAAAATCCACCCATGCTGGGGGGACGTGGAACGAGGGGGAGCAAGCATAATAGCCCCCGTGTCACCCCATCAGCTATTAGTAAACACGGTAGCACTGAACCCCGACACTTACTCCGAGCACCTCGGGGGGTCGTCATGCTCAGCAGGCTGGCTCCGGGGTCCTCCTGAGCCGACTCCTGCGGGGGGCCCAGTTGGGGGTTCTCAGAGACCATGTCCTCGGGGCCAGCGGCCAGCAGCTGTGGGCAGACGGTCATCAGGGGTGAGGCCTGGCTTCAGTGAACTCGGTTCCTATCTCAGGGTGGGGTGGGCCCCTGGGTGAGTGGACAGGTCACCGTGTTTAAATGTGGGCGACCATGCAGGGTCCCTGTCCCGAGTCACTGTGGCCGCCCCCCAGGGAAGTGGCCCTCTGCCTACTTTCTTGGGCGCTTTCTCGGGAATTGACGGGGCGCCCTAACGTAAAATGAGCGTTTTCACTTTCCCGAGGCACGGTGCAGCGTGCGGCAGGCCTGGGAGGACAGGAGGCCGCGAAGTCCCCTCCAAGCCAGGTTCCCCCGGTTCCAAATCGTCTGGAAGCAGCACTCGAGTGTCCCTAAATCAGGGCAGAGAGCGGCCTCCGTGGCCCTCCTCGGGCTCGCAGAAGGGGCAGGTGAGCATAAGGGCACAAGGGCAGGTGAGCACACCTTTGGGGCCAGACGGAGGTTTGCCCTGCACGGAGAGGCACTGCGGGGACCCGACTTCAAGAGCGACTTTAATGCGAGTTATGGACCTCAGGGGTCCAGGCAGGAAAACAAAGCGGCCTGTTCCCGGGGAGGCTGCTGGTCTGAGACACTCAGTGAGCGGCCTGGGGCCGCCGGAGGCATCTAATTTGAAAAGAAAACTGCCCAGGCGGTTCTGCAGCGCAGCAGGGGAGGCGTCTCCGGCCGCCGGGCTGTCCAGACCGAGCCGCGAGGCCGGGGTGCCCTGCGCCCCCTCCCTGCTCGCTCCCCCGCGCGCGCCCCGAGCTCGTGCATCCGCCCCGGGCATCGCCGCCAGCCGGGCGCGCCCTGTCCCGGCTGCGGGAGCCCGCGGGCCCCAGAGGAAGGGTGCCGGAGGACGCCCCGAGTCTGCGCCCTGCCTGGGCGTCTCCATCCCAGCGCGGGGACCCGGGCGCGGCGCCAGGGCGGCCGGTCCCCAGGCCGGGGAGCCCGGCCCGGCCGGCCCGGCGGAGGGGGAGCCTCCCGGACAGGCTCTCCAGGGCCCTCCCCTCCGCGCCCCCTCCCGGGGAGCCCTCACGTGGCTGCTGGCGCAAAATGGCGCAGCCTGCCCTGCCCTCCCCGCCGGCCTCCGGGACTCTCCACGCCAGCCCCCGGCCACAGCATCCTCCCGCCGCCCGGGGAGTCATGTACCTCCAGGCGGCTGCCCGGCGCCCGAGGCTGCCCAGCCGGGGGGCCACGCCGGGCCGCCGGGAGCTCGGAGCAGGGCAGAGCGGGCTGGGCCGAGCCCCGAGCGGGTCTGGGCTGGAGCGGAGGGGCCGGGCTGCGCGGTCCTGCACCGCCACCTGCGGCCGCCGCCGATGCAGACACCCCGGCCGGCGCCCCGGCTCCCGGGCCCCCCTCCAGGCCGGGGGAGCGGGCCCCGCCGACCGGGGCCGAGGCGGGGCAGGTGGCTGAGGTGCCCTGCAGGGCCCAGGCGCCCCCTACCCGGCAGGGCGCACCCCGCGGCGGACACGCCCGCCCCGCGAGCCCCACCTGCTTCCTCCTCTTGTGCCTCGGAGCCTTGGGGGCTTTCCTCTGTCCTTCCCCGGCTGCGAGCTCCTCCGCGTTCTCCACGAACTCCTGGGGGAAGAGGCAGAGGCAGAGTCACCTTGGGACCCTGGCCCACTCCTCTCGCCATAGACGGTCCTGCGAAGCCTCTGCTTCAAAACATGTCGAATGCGACGACATCGGGGCGCCCACCGTCTCAGCCACACTATTTATCGAGCATTTACTCCGGGGCTGGGGGCTCAGAGTGTCTGGCTGCCCTCAAGGTCATGGCTAGTGAAGGTCATGGAAGTGTCTCTGACCGCACAGAGGGCTCTGGGGGTGCGGGGGCAGCTCTGAGGACCTGTTTCAGGCTTGGGGTCTCTGCTCCCCGGCCTGCTATTGGGCAGAGAAGAATGTAAGAGGCAACTCCAGGGAGGCCCAGTGAAGGGCAGGTCAGCTGCTCCTTTGGAAAAGGACGAAAAGCTCTAGCAGGGGACGCTGTTACTTTTTCTAGATGACACTTTCTAAGGTTTTTTTTCTTTTTAAGATTTATTTATTTATGCATACAAGAGCTGGGGTACAGGCCAGAGGTGTAGGGGGTGAGAGGATTCACCAGAGACGGAGTGGGGAGCAGAACAGGCAGATTGACCAAAATACACTGCTGAGGGAGCAGTGGGGAGTCAGGAGAGGTCCGCTGTGCCACGTGGGTAGCTCTCTGGCCATTGGGGATCCAACCTGCACTGCAGAGGCTGTGGACAGCTCCATAGTCTGCGTCCTACCCCTTGCGCCACCAAGGAGGCCTGAAACTTTCTAAGGTTTTGGTGAAGCCTCTAAATTGCCCAAGCTTTTGCTTTTAGAACGCAGTTGTAGGATGCACCCAGAACCCCTCCCTGGTATCCCAAATTTATTAGGTATCTCTTAATTGGGATACTTTGGTCTTTATACCCCAGCAAACTTGGAACATCGACTATGAATCTTAATGATATTAGATGTCATGGCAATGTGTGCAGCTCGCCAGGCGGGGCCCCCCCCACTGCTCACCACCGCCCTGGGCGAGGGTCATCGAGGAGTGGATGTCAGCAAGGGGAGGGAACCAGGTCCCCACCAGCGAGGGGGCCTGGCTGGGCCCAGGTGACGCGCCCCAGAGGGCAAGCCCCACCTCACTCCAGCCTCGTTCTTCATGCCCCCAGTGGGGAGAATTCTTAGCTCAGGAGTCCAGCCACTTGGACTCGTGAGAACTGCCGTCATTTTGTTCCCCTATGGTGCTTTGCTCTTTCATCCATGGAAAACTGTCCCGCAGGACTTCAGGTTCCATAGAAGGTGAAACCATGAGCACTTGGGGCTGCATTGCGCGCTGTGAGCAGAACCAGAGCACAGGGAATGTGCTGACCTCAGAGTGGGCGATTAGGGCCTCTCACTAGGGGGTTCCGGGAAGCCTGCGGGGTGGTCCTGGGCCCTGGGCTTCTTCAGGCTCTTCCCAGCCCCTACTCCCCTATTGCGAACAGCGGAAAGTCTCTACTTGTGCCTCCCTGGGCTCAAGTCCGTGAGCCCTTGAGGCAAGAGAGAAACAAGGATTGAGAGGAACCTTTCTCTTCTGTTGGAGGCCTGCAGTCTCCAGACTAGAGATGGCACCTCCCTTCCCTGGTCCAGACAGCAAGTAATGAGAATTAGCAATTGCAGGACTCCAGGAGACAGAGGATTTTATGAGTGGTTATAATCCACAGTGGTTACCTTCGTTCTGCACTTCTTTAGAAATCAGCGGGCATCCACCTACCGTGGGTGGTAGCTTAGAACAGCCGCGTGTGGGCATTCCTGAGAGGGTGGAGAAGTGTCTTAGGGTATTCTAGTGGAGGTGAAGCCCTAGTGTGCGCACAGGTCTGTACTTCTGGCATCAACCACACTGGTCACCAGCAGCCTCGCAGAGCACCCTGTGCATGCAGTAGGTGTGCCATAAATGCTCATTACAATGGGTGTGCCATAAGCGCTGCAGGGCCCGCACTGTGGCTTACCATCCTCACAAACACGGGTGATGTGAGCATGTGGACACACCAGCCTTCGCGGCAGTGATGCCACCACTTACCTCTGTAATTATTTTCACTTTCTCTTCCCTGGCATTCATTTTGCCTCTGACGGCTGCTCCCTGTCAGGCAAGGAACAAAGAAAACATCAGGCATTGTGCAATGAAATTTTTTCTTACTCTTGGCAGCTGTGAAGCTGCCCTTGATAGTTCACGAAGCGTCTGGGCTGGGCGGATGGCCTGTTTCTGAGGACGCCGTCCCTGCAGGCAGGCAGGAAGGACTCTGGGGGAGAGGGAGGGGTACACTGTCTGTGCCCGAGCCTGGCCTGGCGAGCAGCGGGTGGGGTTGAGGAAAGAGCTCAGCCTTGGCCGCTTGGACCTAGTGGGGTGCCCCTGAGGGCCTGTCTCGCAGAGTCTCCTCGGTCCTCAAACCTCCAGCTTCCCTCCCTTCCTCTTCCTCCCCTTGCTCTTGGTTTGAGATGCTAACAGAGAGGACCTCGTTGCTGCCCCTCTCCGCCCCGCCCACGGGGCCACGTCACCCCCCACGCTTCCTCTTGTTTCTATGACCTGTCCCTGCCCCCACCAGGCCCATCCCCCTCTCTCCTCCAGGACCCTGACTGGATACTCCCCTCTTTCTCTGGGATGACCCTTTCTCTCCTCTCCATTGGCTCGTTCCTCTCGGTGCACAAAGAGCTGTGAGAGCCCCTTCCTGCAAAAGTCTCTCTCTGGACTTCACTCTGCTGCTGGCCACTGCCCATCGTGTCACTGGCCCTCTCCCCGTCAGCGTTGGGTCCAGCGCGCTCTGCAGTTGCTCTGGCCTGGGTCTCCAGTGGCCCTGCGTCCCCACATCTGCAGATCGGGCCTTAGCCTCCTCCTTAGCAAAGATCAGATACGAGAACGTGACAAATCCTCCCTGCACTTAATAACGAGGGTCCAAACCTTAGCTGGGACCTGCTCGTACAAGCTGCTCCTCTGAGGCGCTCAGGGTCCACCAGCTGTCGCGGGAATTAGCTCGTTAAAGGGGATGATGAACACCTGAGACTCTGTCTCCATCCTCCTCACTGGCCACACATACGAGAGGAAGTGAAATGCTGGAAGCGGCCAAGAAAATCAAGGGTAAGGAGGTAACCTAGAGAGAACCAAGAAGGTGGAGGATGGAAATTCAATGCTGAAGGACAGAGAAGCTCTCTCATAAACAGTGTGATTACAAGCTGGAAAAAATGGAAATATTTTGTAACTCAAAAGAGATTCTCAATAAATTAAAAAAAAATATTACCTATGAGAGAAGTAGACGTAGGAAATGAAAAATGTAATGGGGTTGAGTTTTTCTCCTCATTCTTTCCTGATCATTACCTTTGAATGAGTTTCCCAGGAAATGGAGTGACATCCAAATTTATTTTCATGAACACTGATGCTAAGAAAAGACAAATGTGTGCTGCCCGACTGTGTGCAGCCTGTCTCGCTACATGCACAGAGACGTGTTAATATGTCCCTATCCGCGCCATCAAAATAAGAGCCGTGATTTACTGCAGACTCTCCAGACTTTCTCTAGATCTGTTACAGGAGCCTCACAACAGGACTCTGGCCTCAGCTGACGCGTGAGGAGACCCAGCTTCCCTCTGAGGTAGTCTCTGGCAGCTTCCCTGGTTTGCCCAGGGTTACAGTGAGCCCCTGTCGCGCTCAGCACCTGCCACAAACTGTGACTCCAGCACCCCCCTCCTGCCTCTGCACCACTCAGTCTTGCCTTTTATTCTTGCTTCTCTGATGATCCCCCCAACTAGCAGTGAAGTGTTGTGACGGTTCTGGGACCTCTCTCCCGTCTAGCAGCCAAGAGAGCAAAGCCATCTGCAGAGACGTGAAGTCAGAGCCGGCTCCTGCTCTGTGAGGCGGCTGTGTGGAATCTGCTGCCTGCGGGTAAACCAGCCTTTCAACCCCGGCTGATGGCCAAGGAGCCAGAGAGAGGAGCTCTAAGCCCTGGGCACCCAGGCTTTGCGCCTCCCCAGGGTATTCTTCAGAAATCGGGGGAGTGATTAAACCACAGCATTTGCCTTCCCGATAAGGTGAGCATTTTATTGTTCAGATAGTTACACAACTTAGTAAACTATGAAAGAAGTAACTTATGTTACACCAGTGTCAACCCATTTTGGAGAAATACATCAGAAGGCACCCACCTGGACTTAGGGACACAGCGATAAGCTCAGCGCCCCGGGGGAACCCCTGAGGTGGACTTTTCACAACCTCATCTGAACAACCAGACACTGACCCTGGGCAGAAAGACTCTCAAAAAAAGCATAAGAATGGCAGCTGGACACCAAGCAAACTCAGAGGCCTCTCTGCACAAACCCATTTGTTGAGACGTCGCCACCCATCCAGGCCTTGGCCGAGGGCCTCGGCTCCCCTGATGCTGGACGCAGCCCTCAGGCCCCCACACTGTGCCCACTGCACATGAGGGGTTCGAGCCCCAAACACCTGTGCCTGGGCAGACCAGCACCCTCAGCAACGCAGGCTTTGGTTCATAACAGCTGACTGTGTTAGAGAATGTTGGACTTATGGATGCAGTGAGGGTGACGGCCTTAGAAGACAGACTGCGTGGTGAGGGTGAGCGGGCTCCCAGCTCAGTGCAGAAAACCAAGGAAATGTTCTCAAGCAAAGTACTGACCCCTTTATCTAAACAAATGGACTATCTCCAAGGGCAGCAGAGGCTCAGAGTTATAGTCTAGAGACCCCTGTGATGATTCTGCAGGGTGTAGAGAAAAGGACCGGAGCTGTATGAACAGATTAGCGCTGTGTCCGGTGCTGCTTAACCTGTGTCCTGATCCAGAGCAGCGAAACATGGGTTTCGAGAGTGAGGATTTGGGGAAAAGTTCTCTGGACCTGGGTTCAAATTTCAGCTCTATCCGCCAGCCATGTGATCTCGGAGCAACACCTTCACCATTTGGAGATGCATGTCCTTGTAAAATCGAGGTCAGAACTCCTGCCTTGAAGAGTGATTGTTTTATAAGGGCTAACTGACAGGATGTGATAGTAAAGGCCCACCACAGCCCCTGCTCTCAGTATGGGTGTTATTATTATTAAGAAAAGGCGGGTAAAAAGTACTTCTGTTCTACTGAAAAAGAGCAGAGGGGACAGAATGGGAATCACAGGGAAGAGCTGAGATCACAGTCCATTCCTCCATTACCGGGCCTCCCTCGTGGCGCAAAGGGCTGAGACGCAACCTATGAAGCAATCTGCAGATACTGCAGCACAAGTTCGATCGCCAGTCAGGGAGCTACCCACACGGCGCAGCAGACCTCTCCTGTCTCACCCACTGCTACCCTCAGCAGTGTATTTCGTTAGTCTGCCTGTTCTGTTCCCCACTCTGTCTCTGGTGAATCCTCTCACCCCCCACACCTCTGGCCTGTACCCCAGTTCTTGTATGCATAAATAAATAAATCTTTAAAAAAAAATTCCTCCATTACCATCTTTGTTCCCACCTTCAGTCTTTTGACTCCAATGCCCCATGTCTCCTCCCTCCTTCCTCCAGTTTCCATTTATGGTGCTTCCGAGGCCTCCCTGGCTCCTCCCCCAGGAGCATCCACTCTCTGGTACACAGCTTAGCTTTCTGTCTCACTCAGCTGGAGTCAGAGACCCTGGGCAGGTGCTGTAAGCCCCCCTTTGAGTTCATTATCTAACTACAAATCATTCCAGCCTTAGCATCCTTTAGCATTAAGTTAGTGACATAAAGCTTTATAAAATCATTTAATCAGTTGCTTATAATGTAACCACCCTCAAAGGAGTTGCATAAATGCCATTTTTGCACCATGCCAGGTGACAGGTACCCAGTGCACTTCCATGATGAAGTGAGTGCTTCATGCCCCTCCCTGAAAGTGGTTCCCTCTGTCGTCTGAGCACTTTAGACCCTTTTATAAATCTCTCAAAGTACTTAGCTCATTGTACTGTTATTATCTACACATAGGCTATTTCAGGTAAACTCCAAACTGAGCAGGTCTAATTCACCTCTGCACACTGTAAACTCCAGCCCATGGCCGGGTGCATTGCTGATGCTCTGTAACTGCTGAATGCACGAGTCTTTGAGTGGCGTCTAGGAGACAGATAGATAGAGACAGTTCGCTCAGGTGTTGGATTTACTTTCAGAAAATTTTTCTATGAAAATGCAATAACATCCGTGTACTGCCATTAGAATTTATTGGCTCTTTCATAGTACCTTTTTGCAATGAAGGGAGACAAACAGTCTAAATCACAGCCAGGTTTTCTTGAGGTCTTTTGGAAAGAGCAGCAGCCTTCAGCTTTTTGTCTGTGCGGGCTCTTTTCTCTAATTCCAAGAAAATGAAAGCTTGCCCTAACCAGAACTTCTCTTGAATTAATTTGAACTAAAAGGCCTGAAAATGCAACATGCAGCCCTGATTTCCGGAAGAAAGGAATGCAACAGGAGGGCGTGGAAATCCCAGGAAGGAAGCGGAGGGTGCGGCCCCGGGGAATTCCACCCCTGGCTATGGAGAGACTGATTTACATTTCCTGCAAAGCAGACGGGCAGCAGGTCCAATCAAAGCAGCCCCGGCACTGCTCATAATCTCCACTCCAGAAAGCAAACTGTAAATACTAACGCGAAACTCTGCATTTGCAATTCATTAATCCGCTCAGGGCACCCAGGGAGAGGTTGAGCTCAAAGGCTAACGGAAAGCAGGACACCCTCCCTGCAGCTGTGAGAGCTGATTTACCTCAGGGAACTTGACAAAGGCACTTTGCAGGCTCTGCTGTCTGGGATGATGGGAAGGTGGAGCGATCGATCGGTCTCACTGTTGAATCTTCTCAGAGTCCAAAAGGAAAGGCTGTGTGTTGGGTAGTCCCCTGGGCTGCTCCCCGGGAAGCAGCAGCCACAGCCATCTTACTGAGCAAAAACACCAGCTTAGCAACCCGTTCCTAAGGAAGGTCACTCGGTGGATTTTTTTTCTTTTAAAGTGACAGGTGATGTCTCCTAGTGGGGTACAAGGGAGCAGGAGAGCCCAAGAGCACAGCCAGCCAGGGAGGGACTGAGGGAAACCCACCCCTGGGAGCTGAACGGAAACAAAGACAAGCTTGAAGAGCCTGCCTTCCTCATTGCCAGGGATCAGGGCATTGCTGGGAAGGTGCTCAGAGGGGGCGATTTAGAATCTTGGTAGGTTGCACCTACTGGGCTGGGGCATGAACTTGTCCAAAGTAAATGCTCCATGGCGGTGCTTCCAGGCACCAGCAAAAGTTCCTCTGGAGTGTTTCCTGTTCAGCCTGGAAGACCGAATCTACAGAATTAAATCTCTGCTTAATCCCTGAATTCCACTAAAATTACTGAAGGAGGTGAGACATGTTATGGTTCCAAAAAGCAAGGAAGTGGGAGAAGAGGCAAAGTAGGTGGAGAAGTAACAGAATAGACCAAAGAAAGCCACACTCCAAACGTATCGTGTGTGTGGTGTGTGTGTGTGTGTGTGTGTGTGTGCTGTGCGTGTCTCTGTGCATCTGTATCTGTGTGTCCCGGTGTCTGTGTGTATGTCTGTGTATGTGGGGGCAGGAAGGCACCAGAATGAAGAAATGGACAGGATTTGACTTAGTGGTGTAATGGGCTTCATTGTGTCCCTCCAAACAAATAAAATAGTGTCCTGGAGTCCCATCCCTCAGTACCTCAGAATGTGACTTTATTTGGAGGTAGGGTCTTAATAAAGATAATCAAGTTAAAATGACATGATTTGAGTGCACCGTGATCTAAAGCTGATGGGGAGAAGAGAAACTTGGGTCCAGAGACTGACACGCACAGTGGAAGATGATGTGAAGACACAGGGGGAACTTCATTTACCATGAAAGTGGATACCGAAGGCATGACCTGGAATCTATCCTTCCTCACAGCCCTCAAAGTCAGACAGTCCTCCAAAACCTGATTTCTTTTTTTTTTTAAAGATTTATTTATGCATACAAGAACTGGGGTACAGGCCAGAGGTGCGGGGGCGGGGGATGAGAGGATTCACCAGAAACAGAGTGGGGAGCAGAACAGGGAGAATGACCAAAAACACTGCTGAGGGGAGCAGTGGGTGAGACAGGAGAGGTCTGCTGTGCCATGTGGGTATCTCCCTGGCTGACTGGGGATTGAACTCGTGCTGCAGAGGCTGCAGATTGCTTCATAGTGCTGTGCTTAACCCTTTGAGCTGCCAGGGAGGCCCAATACCTGATTTCTTACCTCTCATCTCCAAAGCTGTGAGACCACACATTCCTGTTGTTTTAAGCCACCCGATGGCTGGCGCTTTGTTATAGCAGCACCAGGAGAAAAATATGATCGGAGACCAGGGACAAGGGGCTGAGAATACAAGATCTGAAAGTCTCTGAATGGAGGGGTCAGACCCTTGGACCCTCACTTACTCCAGGCAGCCTGAAGTACAATGCCCACTCCACATCCTTCTTCTGCCCAGAGGAGATGGAGGATTTCTTCTCTAGGGAAACGGAGGCAGAGACATTCTGGTCTCAATTCCCAGGTACAGCAGAACGTGTGGGTGGTCTCAGGGCTGAAAACGCCTATGAAATGGAGCGTGGGTGGGCTGCTCCCCATGGCCTTCTCTGGGGACCGAGGCGCCAACACACAGCTTGGCTTCCCTTCTCCCTCCTCCGGCACTGAGTTGGGAAAAAGTAAGAAATTATTTTCTGGAGAAACAGGATAGTCATAAAGAACAGATCCCAGATGTTGGCAATTTTGGGTCTTTCAATGAAAAAATTAACTTTCATATTCATGCAGAAATGTTTTAGAGAGAAAAAAAAGGATCTTAGGTCAAGAAATAAAACACTTGTACCACAGGGAGAATCAGAAAAATGAAAAGGAGAGTTTATGAAAGAAGAAGAACCCTCCGAAGTGAAGGAGCGAGTCTTTAGGTCGAGGGACTGTTTATTATCTCCTGCTGGTGAATTCACAACCATGACTTACATCATGATGATAAACTTTGTGGAAGATGATCACACAATCCAAAATTACACAAAAGAGCAAAAGGCAACGCAGAGTCTTCAGACAACCAAGAACTTCTGATAACACAAGGCTCAGATGGCGAAGAGAAAAAGAGGTGATGACCATAAAAGCACACGAGAGGAAGAGCTGAAAATATGAAAAAAGAGTAAGAGACTATCAAAGATCACAGAAATGTGAAAAAGAACCAGCTAGAACTTGAAGAAATGAGTAACAAGTCATCATAGTTTTGTTTTGAAACAGAAGTTGGATTAAAGAGGAGAGAATTGGAAAGAGAATTAATGATGTAAAAGCGAAAATTAAAATACTAAAATGTGGCACAGAGAGACGGAATATAGAAAAGAGTGGATGAAAGATGTGGCAGAGAGACTGGAGAGGCCCAGCGTGTCTGGTGGAGCTCCAGGTGAGAGCAGGAAGGAAGGGGCTGAGCACTGGTTTTCAAATTGAGGGATCCACGTCGACTTTCCTTCTGGGTTTCAGTTCAGGGTTTCACCTAAAAACTGAGGTTGTTAAGAGGCTTGCTAAGTTAATATTTATGAAGTCCTAGCACACAGTACATGCTATTTGTTTTAGTAAATGAAAAAGTTAAGGGGGATGGTAACTAAAACAGATATTTATTTTTCATCCTTCTGGCTGGAAAGTCTAAAGTTGAGGTGCCAGTCAATTCAGTTTCTGGTGAGCGCTCTCTTCCTGGCTTACAGATGGCCACCTTCCTGCTATGTCCCCAGGTGACCTTTCCTTGATATTTGTGGCTAGAGAGAGACATAGCTCTCTCGTCTTTTTTTAAACATTTTTTTTAAAAGATTTATTTATGCAAGCACTGGGTACAGTCAGAAGTGCGGGAGGGTGAGAGAATTCACCAGAGCCAGAGCGGGGAGCAGAACAGGCAGAAGGACCGAAGTACACTGCTGAAGGGAGCAGCGGGTGGCAGGAGAGGTCTGTGCGCCATGTGGGACCCTTGCCCAGTGGCTGGGGATCAAACCGGTGCTGCAGAGGCTGTGGGCAGCTTTGCAACTCAGCGTTCAACCGCTGCGCCACCGGGGAGGCCCGCTTTCTTGTCTTTTGATAAGGTCACAATCCTATCAAATTAAGGCCCGATTCTTATGACCTCATTTAACCTTAATGACTTCCTAAAATCCTTATCTCCAAATATGGTCACGTTGAAGGTTAGGGCGTCAACATACGAGTTTTGGGAAACACCGTTCAGCCCATAGCAGATGCTTATTGTAAAGGACCATCTACTCAAGATGGTCAGCTGTCATTCATTTGTGCATCACTGCTGTGTTAATTAGCCTTCTGATTATGACCTTCCTTATCTTTGGAAACTTAACCAAACTAAACCAGTTCACATGAATTATACATCTCATTATGTCCTGGAATCAATAAAAAAGATCATTCAAAAATATTATTTCTTGAAAAAAATTTTAGGAGAGCAAAATGAATCTTTCAGATTTGTTTTAAATCAAAATGCAAAAATCTTTTCCTGTTAGGTTAAGTGTTGCTAGCTGGCTAAAGAGTTTTTAATCAAGAATGAATGTGAAATCATACATCATAAATTTTTAATGCATTTTTTGAGATAATCAAATATGACTTTTCTTCTTTCATTTCTTAATGTGATGAATTACATTAACTGAGTGTTTTAATGTTAAACTTTTCTTACATTCCTGGAGTATACTTGCACTAAACTTGGTGAAGACATTTTAGAAATTAATTGTTGGATTTAGTTATTAATGTTTAGATTTTTTGATTTTATGTTCATTAATGGTTGATTGTTTTACACTGCTTGCATTGATTTAAGAATAAATGATATTATAATAAAAACCAGACTAATATTTCTCTTTCTTACACTCACACACACGCACAAACACACACATTATTCTGAGAACTTGTCTATAAAACTGTTTGGGTTTGGTGAAATTTTATTGTGGTAAAAATGGTTATTTTGAGTTAGACAAATTTCTAATGTCACTAATTCAGTGACATTAATTAAATTCACCACTATAAATTCCAATACTTTTCCATCACCCCTATAGAAACTCTTTACCCATTAAATAATAATTCCCCATTTCTCCCTCCTCCCAAACCCTCATGACCTCTAGCCTATTTCCTATCTCTATAAATTTGCCTATTTTAGACATTTTATGTAAGTGACTCATATATCATGTTTGTCCTTTTTATATTGGACTAATTCATTTAGCATAATGTTTTCAAGATTCATCCATATTGTCATGTGTTTCAATACAGTATCCATTTTGAAGGCTGAATAATATTCCATTGTATGGACATACCACATTTTGTTGATCCATTCATCATGTGATGAGTGCTCAGCTGGTTTCCAGCTTTTGGCTAGTGTGAAAAATGCTGCAGTGATCAGTCACATACAAGTATTTGTTTGAGACCCTCTTTCAATTCTTTTGGGTTTATACCTAGAAATGATTGTTTGGTCATATGGTAACTTTATGGTTTACCTTTTGAGGAAATGCCAAGCTATTTTCCACCATTTTATATTTCACCAGTCACAGACAAAATTTTACAAGAATTCTAACTTCTGGAATTTTTGCTGGTGCTTGCTACTTTCCATTTTTTGATGATAACCGTCCCTGTAGGTGTCAGTGGTATTTCACTATGGTTTTAACTTGCATTTCCTTAGACTGGTGATGTGAATCACATAATTCATGAGCTTATTGACTAGTTGTATGTCTTCTTTGAAAACTGGGGTGTGTGTGTGTGTATGTGTGTGTGTGTGATGTAGCTGGATTTTTGACCACTGATTCAATATCTCTGATGCTTATGAACCTATTCAGGTTTTTACATTTCTTCTTCTTTCAGACTTAATATACCACATATTTTAAAGATATGGTCAACTGTCATCAGAGGTAGATAAGATAAGAAGCCTATCACCTCCCAGGGTTCAAATTTTCTCTTGGTAGAGTAGAAATCATGTTATTCA